CCTTAGCCGGTTGAGCTATAGGCGCCGAGCCAACCTTTGTCTATTTCTTATTTCTTCTCTTGAGAGTGGGAGCAGAAGCCCAGGCAATGTTGGAAAACCAAACCAAAACTAGGAGAGCCTATCTCAGTATGCAGATGGGAGAGCTGAAGGCCTGCGAGGAAAAGGACTCATGGAGTGAAAGGTCTTGAGCCTGGACCTTGCATCTGGGTCACTTACTCTCCACACCCCAGGCTCTAATCTCCATTGTCTGCTGCACAGCCCACAGGGATCCACTCTCTAACCACAGTGGGACAGATCTCCATTAAGGGGCAGAATTTCACAAATGCTGACCAGTTGTGGAAACTTAGATTCCTCTGGCCAAGGGAAATTTGCTTCCTCTCTCCTTGTATTTCCCTCTTCTTCATCTTGTTCCAGCCATTCCCTGATCCTTCTCCTTTTCCTCAACATCATCACCATCAACAAGAACTCAAGCCTAGTGGCCCCTCCTTGATCAATGAGGAAAACCTTCCCCCATCCTCACTTCAGTACCACAAAGAGATCCCCAAGGGTGAAGGGGGGGCATGGAGCCTGAGCTGTGGGAAGGGCAGTTCTCCACCGTCAACCCCTCTCAGCTATCATTTCCCCAAGGCAGGGCTATGGAATCCCAGGTGCCTGGCAAGGTCAAGCACAGAGAGGTGCCAGGGATCAGGGTGAATAAATTAAGGAATGAACACATATAAAGGCAAGAGTTGGGCAGCGCCTGTGGCTCAAAGGAGTAGGGTGCCAGCCCCATACGCCAGAGGTGGCCGGTTCAAACCCAGCCCCTGGCCAAAAGCTGCAAAATAAATAAATAAATAAAGGCAAGAGCTATATCCATTGAGGAAGACTGGCTGAGTGTTCAAGGGACTTTGGAAACTGGGTGGGAGTTCTCAGGGCCTGGGCCTCTGGTTCCTCTCTTGTCCCCTGCTGTGGGCTTTCTGTTGCCTCTTTCCCTCCCGTTCAGATGAAAGTCCAGATGCACCTTTCCCAAGTGTATCTCCACCCTCAACCTTCCCACTGCCTCCCTCAGTCACAGGAGTGGTCCATGTGGGGACATGTCCCTTCTCCCCTTTCATGTTTTGAGAAAGGTGAGGTGGGGCCAAGTTGGCAGGTAGGTCGTGTTAGAGAAACATGCCTTCTCACTCTGAGCGGCACCAGAACCCTCTGGTATTTCAGCATGGGAGAGGGAGTGGAGAGGGACAGATCACTGGACCCAGCCTTTCAGTGCTTTGTTCAACAGATGAAACTGGTTCTTTCCAGTAGCCATTCTGACATCTCAGCCATGTCTGGCCTGGGCTGGGCACTGAGAACACAGCAGTGATCCCAAAGAGAACGCTTGGTTTAAGCAGCCCCCTTGAAGCCACATCCCTGCTGGACCACCCTGCAGGAGAAGTGCCCAGGCTGGGGCTGGAGTCTGGAGCTAAGGCTCACCTCCTGGCTCACCTGTGGGGTTGGGGCAAAAAGCAGAAGGGCTATGAACATGGATTTCCTTATCCGCAAATGGAGAGTGGTTGTAACACCTCCTGCCTCCCTGGAAGGACCACTGTCAGGATGAAGGTTGCCTGGCACATGGTCATGACAGGTATGTGTTTGAATGGATAAGTGAATTAAGGCAGAAGTAGAAGGAGCCGCTGCCAGCGAACTCCAGTGTCTGGAAAGTCAGCACCACACGCAGGTTTCCACCCAGCCCTCTCTCTGTCTAGCCTGGGGGCGGGTTTCTCCGCCTCCCACCCCGATCATGCTCCTACACATCCCACCAGGAGATAGTCACCCTCCTAAGTGGGCTCAAGGCCACACTCTTTCCCAGGGTGCAGAATTGGTGAAATTTGAATGGGGGAAAGGGTGAGGAAATCAAGCCCCATCCCTGGAAAAATCTCCCTGACCCCCCAGCTCCAGCCCTGGGCGGATGCGGCAGAGCCAGCTCGACCTGCACTCCTCGTCCTAGTGAGTTACAGTGTATCCACGTGGGGCTCAAGGAAGGTGTGGGCGGGCTAGGAGTTATTTGCAAGGGTGCTTGCAAACAGCAAACCTAGACAAGAAGAACCGCAGGGAGCTGGAAAGGGGAGGTACGTGGTGAGAACGCTGCTCCCGCCCTCTCCCCATGGCGGGGAGATGACGCTCCAGAGGGGCTCTGGTGGCGATGGCAGGAGGTGGCAGCCGCCCCTCCCCTCCTGCCTGCTGCCGCCGTGGGGGCTGCTCCAAGGGAGTCAAGGAGCCAAGCGTGCAGCGAGGGGACCCCAGGGCCGGACGTCCCCACCCACTCGCCAGTTCATCCCAGATCTCCAAGCAGCTCGGCTCAAGACCCCTGTGCAGCCAGGCTGCCTTGGGAGGGGGACGACTCGGCCACTGCCCCCACCTCGACCCCGACCTCCCGCAGTCTGCTCCTGGCCCAGTCCCTCGAAGTCTGCTGGTGCAGGGAGCTAACCCCAGCGCTCCCCTAGTGGGGAGTCCTTCCCTCCTGCTGGCCCAGGGTGCTCAGGGTCAGCGGGTCAGGACCGGCAGGGGAGCATCTGTCCGCGGATGGCTCAGGCAAGTGAAGGCTGCAGGAGTTGGGGAGGCTGGAGGGGGGCTGAGGAGGGGACTCAGTAAGGAATGGAGGGGATACCCCATAGGGACCAGAACTCCAGGGGAAAAGAGTGCCCAGAAAAAAGGTCGGGAACTGGTACCCTAGATAAAACAAAGGTGAGAAAGGCAGGAGAGATTCAGGTGAGGGGGAAGACACACCACCCGGACAGCTGCCTCAGGGCCCTCTGGTCTACCCTGGTCTCTCTCTGCCCTTGCTTAACTGGGTGAGGCTCTGATCCAGAATCCACCTCCACCCTGCATTCCCCAAGGCCCAGAGTGACAAGGGAATCAGAGGGGAGTGGACACAGAGCTGCTACAAATCCAAGAGACAGGTGAAGCCAGGAAGGTGGAAGACAGACATCGGTGGCCTCCCTTCACCATTTTTTTAACCAATATTCACAGGCCCCTGGGGAGAGGCAGGTACCCCCACTGGGAATGCTGAAACAAACTGCACATAATCAGCTCCTCAGGGAAGACAGTCCTCAGGAGCCTGCAGACCTGGGAACAGCAGTCATGGTGCCATGGGGAGTTTGGGAGCCCTG